TCAGAGGACTAACGGTTCTTTCTATCTTCTTTCTCTCACTTTTCCTTTCCTTTTCACTTTTCACGTCTCCCTTTTACGCGGCGAACGGCGGCTTAGCATATTATTCAATAACGGATTTTCACTCAAATTGCTCATCAACTGCATGACCTCAAGATGGCTCTGACATGGATGGCCACACCGTTGACTCTACTGTTCCTTTCCTTCCATTTCCATTTTCTTCTTCTACTTTGTCTGATTCTCCTAGTCTACCCCTTTTTTCCATCGCGTTCCAAACTACCTTACTTTTTCTTTAATACGTCCTTCCATATGGCCTTCTATTTTGCCTAAACATTACTTCGCTTTCTTGCCTCATGTCAGATTCCCATTGTTGCCTGGCCTTTCAATTCGTCCCTGCTACTTCCATTCTGTCTTAACTTCTTTTGCTTTCCATCTGGCTAGAGCTTGAAGATAGTTTGTTCAATCCCCTTGTTACTGCGCCCATTATATCTTAGTGATAATATCTTTTAAATAGTTACATACCCGATTAAATACATGATTGAGATGTGATCAATGTTTCAGCATTTGATGTGGGTAGTAAAATAACATATTTAAACAGACCTGCAGGACTTCGGTTAACTTGGGCTACATCTAAATTGTGGTTTACTCCAGCCTTCAGCTGTCGAGATACAGTAGCACCACATATATTAACTTATCCTCTCATCAACCAGGATACAGCTCTTATTACGCAGAAACCAATGCAGATACTTCAGGACTCGCTTCTCCCGGCATGGGCAGCGTTTCAGTCACTATCAGACATCTTCAGCTTTCGCTCACCGGAAACGCCGCGATTCAACCCAGCCGAAGCCACAATTCAGTCTGTCCATCAGGCTTTATACGCCAATATATCCAACCCAGAGACTCGACTGACATGTCGCGAGGTAGTGACGGAGTTTCTCAACCAGATAGAAAAATACAATCCTCGTATAAACGCTATAATAAGCCTCGACGCAGATTCACTATCTATCGCTGACGAGCTGGACGCACGACTTCACCGGGTCTTGGAGAGTAACCCCAATAATACCTTTGAGAACAGCAGCTGGAGCAACGATATACCTCTTCCGTCTCTATTCTGCATTCCCGTCCTGTTAAAGGACAACTTCGACACAGCCAACCATCCCACCACCGCAGGATGCGCGGCGTTGTCGAACTCTGCGCCTGCTTTACACGATGCACCCGTCGTCAAGGCTCTATGTGACGCCGGCGCGGTGATACTAGGCAAGACGAACATGCATGAAATGGCTCTGGAGGGCCTTACTGTGTCTTCCCTCGGCGGCCAAACGCTGAACCCCTATGACTATACACGAACGCCGGGCGGAAGCTCAGGCGGTACGGGGGCAGCCATAGCATCTTCCTTCGCGGTGTTGGGGCTGGGTACGGATACGGTGAACTCGTTACGTAGTCCCGCGAGTGCAAATAGCTTGTTCAGCATGCGGCCTACGCGCGGTTTGATTTCGAGAGCTGGTGTGCTTCCTGTTTCGTATACGCAGGACACCGTTGGCCCGATTGCGAGGTGCGTGTGGGATTTGGCTGTGAGTTTGAACGTTATGGCCATGGCTAAGGCAGACGGCTGGTTTGATACGAGGGATAATTTGACTGCGTTACGACCGCGTCATGTCAGGGGGCTGGATTATACCAATATACTATCTCGGTATCAGGGGGGGCATGACGGTGGTCTGAAGGGGGTTAGGTTGGGGTTGGTAGAAGGATTCATTAACCGTACGGATAGTCCGGAGACAACGCCAGTGTGCAAAGTGGTAGATGCGATGGTATCTAGGCTTGAGAAAGCCGGTGCAACGGTGGTCCGCGTTGCCGACTCGATTTATAATTCAAGTGTAATACTGGGTTTGGACGTTCAAGCATACGAGTACCGTGAAATGGTGGATTCTTATCTCCAGGCCCAGGGTCTACGTGACGGCAAACCAAGAGGCCCAAGAACGATGGCAGAGCTTTACTCTAAGATTGATAACGAACAAGACCCGTTCCTGGTTATCCCGCATCAGTACGCCTTCATACAATCTGCACTCGTTTCGTCGCCCCTGAACATCTCGTATGCTCAAAAACGGCTCTCTATCAACGCCCTGACACTGTCGGTCAAAAGGACATTCTCCTCCCATAGCCTTGACGCACTAATATACCCACAGCAACAGAATTTACCGGTTAAGATAGGTTCCAGGAACCAGCACGGTAGAAATGGAATACTTGCAGCTCTGACGGGGAGCCCTGTCATAACCGTACCTGCTGGGTTTTCAAATAGGGATATATTCAGGGGTATACCGGTTGGTGTGCCGATAGGTATGGAAATTATGGGATTGCCGTGGGAAGAGGAGAGGTTATTGAGCATTGCTGCAAGGATTGAAGCGTTGGAGAATTTCAGGAGACCGCCTGTCCTAAAGGAAGATAGGGCTAGAAGGAGTGGATATAGAGAAACGATGGACATTGTCCCGACAATAGTTCCTAATAGGCTAAATATTCATGATATGTATCCCTTGGGGATGTATAGAGTTAATTGATATAACGATATTGAATGTCAATACCTCTCTCCTCCCTTGGTGTCCAGCTTATTTGTGCTGTGCCTCATTTAATCACTTTGCAAATAGCCATTCTTTGGTCGGTGGAACACCAACCAAACATCAATATAACACGGGAATACATCAGCCTTGCCTCCAGTAATCGGAAAGAAATCAATATCTCCGTAGAGTCATTTTCATGATCTGCCAGTATGTCTGAAATATCACATCCGAAAAGTTGCTGCATGGCGTCTACTGACCATAGCAGAGGAGAGGTTCCTTTTCTCTTCATATAAGCAGACTTGGTCATATGTCCAGCAACACTGAGTCGAACATCAGAGCCAGTTGCAAAGTTGAACATAGGAGGGAAGCATGATATCATCCCTGTTTCGTCTATGATTGAGCCAATCTGGAAACTAAGGATTAGCAGATGCAGTGGGGTATCGCCTTGTTCCATCCTTACAGTTAAGGATATATATTCTGGTACTCGAAGAGATTGTGTAAAAGCACTAAATGATCCCATTGTTATATCCAAAAAGGGTCTTGAAAGGGGTAACTCACGACCTGCGGGTTTAGTCTCAGCTTGACTTCTAATTCACACTGTCCACAAAAGGCAACCGTAGAATTGGAGAAAACGGGCACATTACAACTATATCAGGCATCAGTAAGTAGATTAGAAGTTTGTTGGTTGAAACCCTCTGTAGGGTTTGTCAAGCTCACCACTCAGCACAGAACAGTGAGTTTTGCTTGTATAGGGCAGCCAGATTGATATCAAGAAGCACTACTGATGCATATCCCATGAATTCTAGAGAAGATACCTCAGCCCTTAGTCATTTAGGATATTTTCAGCAGTTACATACCACTTCGTGTGGAATTGGCGCTAGAAATCAACTGTTAATATAGGCGGACTACTAGACCATGCAATGGAGGAGGGTAGACATACAATTCATCAACATCGGCAAAAGTGAATTTGATCTTCTGAATGGAACTTTCAAACTCCTCGACATCAAACACTATAAGAATATAAATATCAACCCTGCCCTTGTGTTCGGGGTTAAACGTAGATGAACGTACGATCAGTAGGAAACGGGGGATTAACTTGCCCAGCTCTTCGTGCTGCAAGTCTTTTCAGCTCATCTGCCTCAATACTCTCGGGATCAACATCAACCAGAGTAAAGGAAGTCAGGTATAGCCTTGAGCCCGGTTTCCAGCTCGCATTCGATATCATAAGAACCGTGGAATTGGGAATCCATTTCATGCTAGATTTTATAGCTTCCCCGTAAAGGCCGAGGCTGGCCCTGCTGTGTCCATCAGTTAGCCCTACGTCAACGGTAGGAACGGTTTGGTTGTTAGAGTTGATTGCTGAGATGTATGATGGTGTTAGAATGTATGTTTAGCTAATTTGAGGGAATAGGATAGGCGTACTCTCACGAACGGGCCCGATTGCATAAACGTATACTAGGACCTTCGTTGATTTGCCCATTGAATGCTTCTTTGGAGCGTCGACAAGGGAGTCCACTGGGAAGGGGTATTTATATCCCATTGGTATACGCCCTATGATGCCTATATCGCCACGTTCATGTATTTTGATACCACATCCTTGATCCTTCTCTGGGAAGATACTTGTCATCAGGCTCAATGGAAAGTCTTTTGGTGGCGTTGACGGAGGAGTCAATGGCTTCGAGGGAGTAGAGGTTGAATCAACTTTTCCAGGGCCTTTTAACTGTGGTTTAAACGGGGATATGTGTGTTGCCCATATAGAGACTAATTTGCCTAGTCGAAGGTCGTATGTTATATCAGCATACCATAGCTTGACCTGCAGAAATAATAACTAGTCAGTAACCAATAATCTCACTTAGGCATAGAAATGGCATACAAGAATGTAGCCTGTATCGTCTCTGAGGATAAGTTTCAAGCATCCCCTGGCCTGTTGACAGACTCCTTCATCGTTGTCCTTTTTTGACGGTTTTTTCGTCTTCTTCTTACTTGACCTGTTGATGTTTTCTGCGCCGTCATCAAAGTATGCATTGGGCTGATCGTAAATATTTACGATCCTTGCATCAAAGGCGACTCTGTTGGGACCCTTTTTGAGGTCTGCTAAGGACGACACGGCATCGTACGGCCATGATGGCTTCTCTGAGCTAACGTTGCTGTATTGGTCTAGGGTATCATGTTTCCTTTTAAACCCAGCACCGGCAACGCGGAAGTAATCTGGTATCTTCGAGTTAGCCATCACGATAGTCTCTCCGCGTGAATGAAGATGTTGGCTGTAGTTGACTTGAAGTTGAAGATGAAGTTGATGTTGAGGAGAAAAGCCCCTCATTGGCTGATTACCTCTTTGGGACGGCATCACATAAGCAAATGGAAGAAGAGGAGAAAGTTCGATATGAAGATATTTCAATTTAATTTGATGGATGTTGAAGTCCAGAATCAAGAGGCTGTGGGCCTTGCTAAAAAGGAGTGGACGTAGCTGACAATTGCTACTACTAACATAGACAGGAAGGATAACCCCAAGAGACATTAACCACTTCTTCGCCACATCATTTGATACTAGTTGTTATCTTTAGCAGAGGACTAAAGCTCTCACAAAAGAGATGATGGTATCAATTGACTTGATAATTACTGCTTAGAAAAGCTTGTGCTCGAGAGTCATGTCAGACTCTGGCTGGAGACCAACGCAGGCACGGAAGATGTTGGTGACAGCAGAGCGCTGCTTAGCCAGAGCATTGACAACAGGGGTTCCTGGGGGGGTCAATGGAGCCTATCAAAGCGTTAGTTAGACTAAACGATGCAGATGGGGAGGTATTACAGAACTTACCTTCAACATGTAGCTGAGGATGCTGAGGACGCTGTGGAAGCCCTTGTACTCCTCGCCCTCGGCAGCCTTCCAGCTGACACGGGTCATCATCTCAGCAATAACGACGAGATCGATGATGAGAGGAGACGCAAGGAGGGAGTCTTCGCAGACGTTGAAGATGCTGATGGTCTGGTGGCCACCCATGAAGATCTCGGCGTAGTACTCGTCGAGGGCACGCTTATTGTCGCCAACAGCGGGCATGTACTTGATAACAACGGTGTGGTCTGGGTGCTCATCCTTCTTGTACAGAACAGAGTTGGCGGCAACCATGTCATCGACAACGTTGGACTTGGAGATCTCCTTGGATCGGAACTGCTTCTGGGAGCTCAGGTTCATGCCATCGTTGTTGCCGAGATGGTTGTAGCTGGCAATGGAGGTGAGCTTGATACCGGCGCTGATCAAGAAGTCAACGAGAGCAGACTTCATCTTGGTCTGACCGGACTTGAAGTCGTCTCCACCAATAAAGGCACCATTCTTCTGGGCAAGCTCAAGAGCTCCGGGAACGAAGGTGTTCTGGGGAGAGCCGTTGATGAATGGAGCGTTCTCAAGGATGGAGGCCACGGCGAAGACGGTAGATGGAGAGACTTCTGCGTGCCCTTCCTTGATAGCCTTGATCAGGTTGTCAGAAGTATCGTTGACACCTTCAATGATCTCTGCATAACGCTCGGTGTTGGCAGTCCACATAATGAGAACCTTGTCGAGGCCATTGGCAGCCTTGAAGTCACTGTCCGCAAGTTAGCATCTCAAAATACGTTTGAAAGTTTACTTTTAGATAACGCTGATTAACCTACCGAATATCCTTTTGAATCTGCTCGACATGCTCCCAGCAAGCCTTGGAGCCAGGAAGAACGTTATCAGCACGCTCCTCCTGGTTGGCAGCAATGAAGTCAGGGTAGTAGACACTAGGAAGTGGCTTCATGGCTGCCATCTCCTCACGGACCAGGTCCTTGAGAGTGGGCTCAAGCACCTTTGCACGGTCCATGGCATCGGCAAGGTTCATGCCACTGATGTCCCAGCCGCCAATAACGAGGTCATTGGGGTGGACCATGGGGAGCATGTTGTTGAAGGGGATATTGATCTCTTCTCCGGTCTTGGCGTCAGTACCGAGCTTGACGGTAGAGGCCATGATGAGGGAGCCGTAGTAGTTGGCAGAACGCTTTCCCTCACGAGTGTCCCAAGTCAATCCACGACGGTTGGCAATGATACCAGCCGTGACGGTAGATCCGTTGTTTCCGCCCAAGCCGATCATCATGACACCGGTCTTGCCGACCTTGCGGTCGACCTTGAAGTCATAGACGGTTTCCTTGGGGGTAGCAATGAACTTGCCGTCCTCGGACTTGGTCACGGCAGTCGTACGGTAGACATACTTGGTGTTGATCTCATCATCGGTGTAGACAACGTTGGGAGACTCGACCTTGAAGAGATCAGCCCCAGGCTTGGGGACCGACCCGTTAACAGAGCCATTGGCAGCTGCATCCGCGTGTGGAGCCATTGTTCAATCTGGTGATCTTGTTCTTGACGGGATTGAAGAATGGGTTTATAGAGAATTGGCGGGATGAGGACTCTCGAAGCAAAGCTGAGCTGGTGGTGGTTCAATTGCTTGTAATTGCCCTTTACTTGGTATGGGGAGAGTCCGATGCTCCTCCACGAGCGGATGAGCGTCGGCTTCCGTTAAACGGGTGGTGCGACCTGCAGGCAGCTGGGTTAGCCATTGATCCAGCGTCTATCAAAGAACGAGGGCTGCGTATCTGGAGCAGGAGAAGGTACTCACGATGGCAAGAGGTTGGAAAACGTCTTGGCGGTATTGACTGATCAGCTTCTAAAAAGAAGAAGTGATCGAGCGAGGGGAGAAGAGAGGAAGGTAACTTGACGTCTTCAGCAAGCCGAAGAGGTGTAGACTGGGGTTGAAGTTGAAGCCGAAGCTGACGAAGTTGAAGCTGTTGATGTTGATGTTGATGTTGTTGAGAAGAGAGAGAAGGCGGGATTTTAAGGGGGCGGGATGGCCTTTTTATCTTTTGCTAGTCCCATCGTCGACTCCCCCGGCTATTTAGTTAAAGCCCAAGGGAAAAGAAAAGAAAGAGACGAAAACTCCACACGCCGGAGAGATCAGGATGAGTTCTCATCATGCCCTTGCGCCCCTGGTCACAAACTGTTATTAATGCAACTAACAGTGTGGAATTAGCCTGTGCCGTCTCGCTTTGCAGCCCGCTTTTTTCTCTCGTCCGTCTGCATATCTGTGGCCCACCGGCGCAGCCATCAATCACACTCGAACCTCACTTTTTCCCGCAGGCTTTGCGTCTCCACGGTGAACAGCCCGCATGCTGGCCCGATACTCAATCTCCGGCTGCCGTAGCTCGTTGCCTGTGCCCGTCATGAGCGGTGTTGAAGGTTGGCGGTTGGCGGTTGATAAGGGCTCACGAGAGCAGGCAGGGCAGCTGCCCCTCGTTCACCCCCGGACGGTTTCTGGTTAGGTTATCGATAGAGCAGTGCGAGGGCTCAGGCCATTGGCGGGGGAAGGCAGGCCGGTGGCTTGAGAGTTATGCAGGCACTAAAATTGGTGTCAAACCCTGCACATCCTTGACAGCACACCGACAGAAGGGTTCTTGTCGTGCTCGGTTGGCTCCCGTCGTTTTTATTCTGCTGCCTGGTTATGGTGGGTTGGGACGGTGGAAAGTGGTCAATCACTAGCAATCTGGTGGAGTGGAAGTTGGGAATACCCGAAGGATCCTTCTCAGCTTCATAATCGACGAACTATTCCTTGCACTTTACGCATAAAGATGCAAGGGAGGACCGGGAATTCTCTGTTCATGTTTGCTGTCTCTTCCCGACAGGCCGATGTCGCCCTCTGGATCCTGGAGTAACTTCACGAACGGACACCTGCAGGAATAAAGCAGCAAGAAAAGCCGTGATGAGACTGAAGGCCGAAGATTTTCCGTTGATCTTCATTCCAAGATGAGCCTTTCCGACTCGCCTGATGAGTTGTTCCATGCAGGTATCCTTTCTTCGCTCGGATATCCAAAGAGATGTTCTTGGAGATTGCCTGTTTAAACAAGTCACCATAACTACTTTTTTCAGTTCAGTGAGAGAGTGTACGACCCTGTCCTTCGTCACTTCGGGGATGTCTCATACTTGCCCCCGGGGCCTGCATTCCATTAGTTACTCAAGAAGTGATTGTGAGGAGTGCGGATATTCCGATTCACCCTCTCAAGGAGAATCCTTTTACACACTACGGCGGACTGAATCATACATTACGTTGAAGTGTTCCACTGATGGGTTGATGTCCCACGGTCTGCTGCAAGCCCATCACGGGTCATCACCTACTGAATTGCTTTGAGTAACTTGGAAATAAGTTACTACATTTACTATTAATGGAGATTATTACGAAAGAGGATCGTGTAGAAGAGCACATGTCCTTCTATCTAGATATTCATCAAGTGGCCATGTTTGATGTCCAATTGTGTATACCAATTATACTATGAAAATGGCTCTCAGCTTCACTCCTCCAGCTTTGTCGGTATATTGCAGCACAACAAGAACTTCCCTACATAGAATACTTACCCCAGTGACCATTGATCTGGGAATACCTAGTATATAAAACTATCTATGGAAGATTCTACGCTCCTGGATCTCCATTCTTTTGAATCTCTTTATACGTCAGTTTTCACCCATCATTTCTTCGCTATACCAGTTGGCCAGCATCATTTTTCAGTCGAGGAAAGATGTCTGACGATGACCTTAAAAAAATGTTAAACCTACACATGTGGCGGGCAAAGGCTATGGAAGATCTCCTTGGGTATCACTTTAAGAACAGAGTGCTAGCATTACATGCCTTGAATCTTCCCGGACGTTTTACCTCGATTCCATGCCACACTGGCCTCGCTCAGCTTGGAAAAGCTGCTATGGAGCTTCTCGTAATCACAGACGGCTATTATAGGGGTCTAGAACAAGGTAAGCAATATCCATATTTATATCTATATCGATCTACTCATACGTATTATGAACGTTGACTGATTACTTGGCTATTGGCCTGTAACAGACAAAATATCTACTATCATGACCCTTCTCTTAGATAGCAGCAAACTCGCAGATATTGCGGCGAAGAAGGGAGTTGGACGATGCATGATTGGCAATCGGTCAGGCGACAATCTATTGCCTCTTTACATGGCTAGGACTATCCAAGCATTGTTCGGTGCCATCCTTGTCGATAGCAATGGAGACACGAGTAAGCTATCAGATGCGATGAGGGCTCTGAAGCTGCTTCCACCAAGAGTTAACTAGTGGTTATCCGGTAATGCTTGGTCTCTTCGCGGTTGCTCTACTAGACTGTTACTATGGATTATTACACTCTGCTAGACAGCGGGACTACTCAAATTTGGCTCAGCGTCTTATTAATACAATTGGAGATTTGAACCTTCATAAACCCCTTTCTGTCCTGCCATCCATTCATTCCCCTTTTCCGTACCCGTGGAAGCTGCACAAAGTTGACCAAGACTTTGACGTCTATCACAAAGTATTCTAGGACCACCCCTCGAGGCGTCTTAGGGAAATCTAAGCAGTGTTGACGCACGACCTTAATTTTCAAATTCATGGGTTGATAGCCGTTCCATCCCCCTTTCTAATGTATTGCAGCCTCGACTCAAGGACCATAGACATTGCTTCTGCAATATACATCGAACCCTTTCTCTTTGGTGTAGCTGAGGCGAGTGTTAATAGCAGCACGGAGATTTGGCGACCAGAAGCTGCCCTTTTGCTCGGGTCTCGTGGCATAGACATTGAACAGGCCCGGCAGTACCATAACTGAATCTGCACAGTGATCCTTGATTTCGGCTGGAAGAGTGTCCCATTTTAACCGCTTGTGAGACATTTCGCTAGATCTTTCCGGCCAAAAAAGCTCTTTCCCAGACTCATCGTTGAACTTCCAACGCGCCTTATCCTCAATGGACAAGAAGCTATCATCTTGGACACATGTTGACAGCATCTTGACATATTTTCTGGGGCCTTCCCTGGTTGCCCACTCCATGAGTTGAATATCTTCAACTCCGCCCATAGAAACGTCGTATTGGCTGTATAATATGTCTGCGCCATTGCGGAGATCAAATACAGCTTTGCGTAGGACTGTGCATTCAAAGATTGACTTGAGTGTCGCTCCGGTGGAGTCTTGGATACGAAAGGCTTCTGCGCCTAGGGTGTGGATGTCGATAAGGTAGATTGTCTTTTCAGAGCGGACATAGATCGATATTATGAGCAAGGTGCCTTTGCGTCCAACGTTGATCCCTTTGAATTCGATGAACAAGGGAACTGGGTCCATCTCAATCGCCCTCAGGCTTGCGAGAAACCGTCTAAGGTCAGTTGATGTATCAACTATGACGACATTGAGCTCGCGGCTTAGTGGAGCCTCTTCCATGGGGAAGTAGGTGCGTTTCTTGACCATTTTTCCTCGGCTTGAGATCACTAGGGCCGGAAATTATGGACTTTGGTAGATGTTGTAGGTTTGAAGTTGGTATTAAGTCATGAAAATTTTGAATGGCATTGTCTTAACTTAGAGTCCTAGCAGTGTGCCCTAATCCGGAAAGTTCCTTTACTACAGGCGACAACGACGACGATGCCAGAAACTTCCTAGGGAATTTGATCAATTATCTCCAATATCAATTGCATAGCATCATATCGATATAGGAAATTATCCAGCAATGCAACCTGAAGTTTCATAAAAAAGGAGCTATTATAAATGTTTGCTTATGACTAGCTCCAAATATCTGAGATTATAACTATCTCCGAAATTGTTAGAGGGTAAAGTTTGAGTATTTAGCTAACGAGGCTCAAAGCCAGTAGCTTGTATATCTAAGAACATCAATAAAAATTGATTGATGTAACCGAAAGAGTAATATCAATCTACCAAAGTAAAAGGGGTATATGAGTAGAAGTGAATGAAACCTTCAAATATTCCCAGCATCAGCAATCTTGTATCCATCCCATTCCACCCTATTTATGATCCAAAATCCGAAACCCTCTTAAAATAAAACTTGAAAAGTCCTTTAACTTTTTTTTTGCTTTTCTTCTTTTTTATCCTGCTCTTTGTAACTAAAGGCAGGCATCAAATATATTCAGAGAAATAAAGTCGTAAATCGTAATTCTCCAACCATAATTCATAAGGGTGGCGGACTGGGTAACCGCTAGATAATCATTCGCTGTTGATCATTGTTATAAAACCAGCTTTTGCGTGTTGGCCGAGGCGTAGGGCATTCGCCAGGTGCTTGAGTCGGGCTCACAATAATATTGTTCACGATTCTTGCTTCTCCCTTTTGAATGGCCTCGATCTGGTTCGTAGCGCATGACATTGCCATACCCCAAAAGTTGCATGTTGGAGGAACAGTTGGCAATGGGGGCTCAGCGTGGGTGGAGTTGGTCTCCCCCTGGGTAGAGTAAAATTCTATATCGTCGGTGACTGTTCCAGTAGCAATATCCATATTGGACATTGCACGGCGGAAGATCTCATATCCAACTTGTGGCTGGTAGGCAAGCATCATATGCCCTGCTTGATAGACACGCGTGAACGAAAATCGACCATATTGGCGAACTTGGGCTTTAGGAACTCCCGAATCATCAGTGAAGACATCTGCATAGCCTGCGCTTCTAAAGTTTTGGGCATCCTTGTAGTCGATGGAAAGACTGACATTTTCGGCACCAACCCAGTTGCATATGAAGTCACGATCGCCATATACCATGGCAACCTTCACGCCAGCGTCTAGCAGGTTGGCAATGTCAAGCAGGTGTCCGCCTCGGTCACTGCGTACATAGTCACCGGTGACATTGAAGACATGCTCAACCGTGTATGAAGGGTCTGTATGATTTGCTGGTACACCTAATGCCTCCTGAATCTCAGTTTTCGCTAGATATCCGAGGAAGCTATTGGAAGGGAAAGGATCTAGGTGACATTGAGCAATGTCGAAAAGACCCCGTTTAGCTCCGTCAACATATATGCCATCTACCTCCGTGTTGCAGTAGCTGTTTGCACGCTCACATACGTAGTTGACTTCATCAACGTGGCCGTATGCATTTGGATCTAGGCGTTTCGCGAGTGAATGGCACTCCGATATTTGGTCAAGACACCCGCCCCTCTTCCCGTAGGCATGCATCGCCTTATCGTATCCAGCGTCATCGATTGCCTGAATGCCATAGGTATTTTTGTTGTGTGGGAAATCAATATTTGACTTTTGCTGAGACATCAAATCCACGCAGCCATTTATTATCCCGACAGTATCGAGGTGAAGAACGGAGCCAGTCACCAGGCCAGCTTCAACACGTTTGTTCTGTGATAAGAAGTATGCCATGAACCCCGGGGCATAACGACCTCCATACGACTCGCTCCAGAGGGAAATCCTGTCATTCCCGCGGTTGTAAGTGTAGGGATCGAAATCCTGGGACCATACTTGGACAACGTTCCAAAATTGTCTGGCAGCATTGAGAGTTGTATTTGCAGTTTTACTGGGGTCTCCGCTACCAAACGTTCCAGCAAGGAGAGTACCATCTTTATTTGGGTCGTGATCTGGTCCCTCAGGGGATAATATGTTGGTCTTGAAGTCAAACGTGGCGTTGGTAAGCACATCATAGCTAAACCCTGTCTGTACCGGTTGGTCAATATATAGCAGGTTGGCTTCTTTGTTCCATGAATGCTCGTTGGGTACGGTTGACTGAGCGTCTTCGGTCATGTGGCATGGACCGCTCTCAACGAATACTCCGACCATAGAACCTGCCCCTGGGCCGCCATTGATGTATATGGCCAAGGGATCAGTCTTTGGGTTTAGTTGAGACTCAAAGTACCAGAAGTAGATATGAACCGGATAGTTCTGTGGAGCCTCACGCATGGAGTTCGGAGGGAAGTTGATATATCCCGAGTACGACCTAGCATCGCCACAGATTCCTTTCTATAAAGTATTAGTGTCTGCAATATAAGTGAAAGGGAAAAAGATTATGTAGCATGTGTGTGTGTGTGTGTGTGTGTACTTACAGGCACTTCTTTGTAGGTAATGGTTGCTCCTGGAAGGGATTTGGACTCGATGGTTATTAAATTCTTAGGCTTAGGAGGATAACCGGCGGCAACAAGTGCCGGCAACAGCAGACCACCAAGAAGCCGTGTAAACAACATTTCCCTTGTATCAAATCACAAAAGAGGGACAACAAATTCCAGTAGGAAGCCGAATATCGAAATATTATCGCTAGTAGGCACACATGGTATAAGAGCTGAGAATAGATATGAAGAGAGTAGGCCCTGAGCCCTGAGCGGGCCTCCTGTCGCATGATAAGGATTCATCTTATATGTATCATAGCACACGACTCGTAAGCGTGGCAACATATATCACGTCCTATCGACGCCCAGAGATATGGTATCAAGCATCCAGGGAAGTCAACTGCCGAAGGGGCGGAGATGACATGTTCACTTTGTGTATATTTAGTTTATGACTGTTTGAGGAAGTCGAAGTATCTCCTTGATCGGCCTAGGGGCAACGATGTTTGTGTAGATAAGACCTCGGGATGTATGATATCACCTGCAGCTGGCCACGAGGAACACCATAATACAACGGCGATGCCACACATTTGGGTTTTAACCCACCAGAATTTGCCCGCGATAACAGGTCAGGCGACCCATGGCGGCCATGACCGCTGGCTATCAGCCAGTCGTTTCTTGGTATTCAAGGTTGGCGACCGAGTCTGATGTCATGCGATAGTTATAATATCTGGAATGAAGTGCTTGGAAAAGTAAAAGTGGCGTATTGACTTAACAATGTCACTGATCGGGAAGCCAAAGTGCTGCGAGGTACAAAGTCCGTACAGACTCAATAACATGTTAAACGCTCTCCGGTTTGCAATATTGGGCAGTGCGGGCTTTAATAGTTTAGGTGCAATAACCTTCCTGCTTGGTTAATCTTGGTGCGACCTCGATATTGGACGTCTGGTTGGAGAGAATACATCGTGGATTTCTTTTCAGCAAATACAACGACGTTTATCCAGCCAAGAAGCCACTGATTGCACTGCACAGTATGGTGTGCAGGGATTGTGTAATTTCATGCATGCAGGGTCGGCCCCAAAGGAAGCGCCGCTTCAGTCAGGATGTTAATCTTGTCTGTATATGAACTAAGTGACAGGATCTTGTTCGGTATATAAATATACCAGCAGACGATTTCATGCAGAGTTGCTGAGTGTATGTATCGGATGATCGTAAGGGTCGAGAAAAGAAACAAGGGAAAATCACTTGACTTGTTCCGTTGTACAGTCAAAATGTTTGGCTCGTGAAAAGGCATGCGATCATCATGTGTTCAACTTAAATAATATCGTAAGAGTCGGGTCGGAGACTTAATTCTTCTCTTGCATCCGTTTCAGTGATGGCGGGTGAACAGCGGTGTGGCGCCCAGATAACACCGCCCAAGAACGCCTTCTCCTGCCATATCACTGTGTTGTCGAAACAGGAGTAAATTAATACTCCGTAGTGCTGGGGCACGCCCAAAACTCGTGCTTGTATAAGTTTCAGTTAGAGATAATCCTCTCTATTTCGAACCAGCGAATGCCTAAGTCAAATCCTCAAATTTTAACCCAGTATGATTAAAAGGAAGCGAGCCCTCCAACACTTGCGCAGACAGAGTTTCCTCGCTTCTGCTCAAAAGGCTGCAGCGAGATCACAGGTTGTCAGGTTGAGTTGGCTAGCACATTGTCTTGCTCCAGCACAAGATAAGCAGATACCCAATAAAAGCAAGTTTCATCCCGGCTAATATCTAATCCAAGCGTCTCAGTAGCTACTGAGAGAACCTGCGATGTTGTGTAGGCTGTCAGTGACGCCTTGCCGGGCCGGTGCTAAACACCCGATCCGTGTACGACGTTGACATGCAGTCAAGAAAACAGAGAGTTCCGGTAGCCCAAGACCGAGTAGGCTTTATGGGATCTTTATTAGCCATTATGCTGGAGAAAGATCCTCTCATCTCACCGCGTCCAATATCAAGTTCGATACCGATTTTTTGATAGAAGAAGTCTCATATTCCCAAAAGGGAAATGGAGGCCCGTGTCGGAGTATGGAACATAGTTATTCCGATGCTATCTCGCAGATACCACGTGATATCTGAAAGTGGAAATCTAGATGTCCTTGACGACATAAAAAAGAATAAGAAGAACAACGTCAAGTTGAGATCTTTCTTTCTAGAAGGCGAGTCAAAGAGCCTGAGCTCATAATATGACGATTTGCGGACAACCTCCGGCCTATCCATGGTGGCTGTCATGCGAAACCTGAGGGCGGGATTCGTCAACGCGGTACGGAGTATACAATGACCCATGGTACACTTGCATGGCTGACCCCGTTTTTAATAAATGCTCACTTCTATAGGGAATCGTCGATCGCAGAATCTCGTGCAGGGAATAATAATGGGTATATCGGATTGCAACATCAAGCATGGTCTCTTCGCACTTGGAGCCCTGAGGCAGCAAAAGCTCCGGAGGCGGGTGGGTGTGGACTGTCGGGAAAGGCTTGCATATACGATGAAACAGCGGGACCCATGTCCCCTGTTGCCTCATCGACTTCCTGTGTGCCTTGTGTGCGTACCAACGGCGCCGGGTTGAAAGATAATGTCCAATCAGCTCCTCCAGTCCGGTTTTTTCGGCATGGGGCACACGTTCATGCGAACTCCAGGACAACGAAACAGTTGCCTGTGGATCTATACTCTCGACACCAGATATTCCAGCCACCAAACAAAGCATCATGGGACAGCCCATCACCAGCCCGCCAACTGGACAGCACTCCTCGTGTCGTATATTTTGCGAAGGAGCAAATCTATTATGCTTTCCACCATGACCTGCATAACCACCGCTGCTAGCATATCTTCGGCTTAACCCCTTTTTTTCGTGCCTCAGGGGCTTTTTTCGCCTGGTGATCGCCGGCTCCACCGCGGCGCGTCGATGTCACTTCTCTACGATTGGCTGGGCGTAGCTGAGTCAGCCTGACCGAAGCGGACGGGCCTGGAGCTTTTCCCTTCTGGGAACAAAAGTGCCTGGCGCCTTACCGTAAACGGAATAGTCCATCGGTCGATTCGACAGGGGAAGCTAAAACACGTGACAATCTATACTCGCCATGGGCTCTTGCGAGAAAAGGCAAAGGGGGAGGACGAAAAGGCAGAGCAGGACGATCGAGACGCTTCGTCCGTTGTTTATCACACGCTCTTCCGCATGTCCTCGCCGCCTCCATCTCCTCTCCATCTCCGCCCTTTTTCTATATTATCCATCCCGACCGCTGTCATTCAAGTCCCAACTCCAAGAGTCAAGCCGCTGTCTGTCAGGGCCTCGATCACCGCTTTTTGCTTCGATTTTACTCCCGCCCGGCTTCTAGAAGAAGACAGCAGGGCCCCCTGGAACGTCCTGGCCCCCTCCCACAGCATAAGAGTCGGTCTCGCCTGGCTGCAGTGCGCCCGTCTCAGGTACACCGTTTCATACTTTTCTCTCTGCCAACAAGCGTTGTGCTGACAAGACTATATAGACATTATTACTCCGTATATTACCTCAATCTTAACCATAACCATCTGTCCTGGGTATTTTGATTACTTCTCGCTACATCTTACACGCTCGACCGTGGACAGCCGGAGAGAAGTCCAATTTCCGGGAAAAGTCTTGCAGTATTGAGTACACGCAAGCATCGTTGACGAACGGACAAACGGAAGGGAAAGAAAAAAAAAAAGAAAAGGAAGGAGGGTGCACTCGACTTATGTCTTTCTCTACACGTATGCGGTGAATCTGACAGTTTTTGTCAACGACAACGGTGTCGGGGGAGGATCACAATGGACGCTTTGCCCAAGATCAAGTGCTCTGACTGCCATGCGGAAGTCGAGCTGGTTGCGCTTGGTGACCATGTTTGCTCAAAAGTCGCGGGTCCTACGGTGACAGCTTCTCCTGTTGAGGAGAAATTGTCTGTAGTATCAGAGTTCAACGAACACGGCCCGCCACCGAAACGGAGTCTCAGTCGTGAGTCCTTGTTCAACAGATTAGGCCGCGTACAGCCCCCTCCAAAGATAGACCCAACTGCTGCCAGTACGTATATATCGTTCCTCAACTTGCTTGAAATGGCGTCAAGGTTGACGGTAGATGTTGACGATTTTAGATCGGCCATTTCTATCTCCTGGTGCCCAGATGTCTCCTCTCACCGGAAGCTTTGGAGCACTCACTCCACGGTCTGCCTCACCGCTTTCTCCTCTTCAGCAGCTGCAGCGAAGTCATACCAGTCCTGTAGCCTCGCAATCTCCGGTTGTTGCCGTTGTGCCTGAAGGGAAGGCCAATCTAGACTGTGCTTTTCCACCTTTCCCTAGGTCAGCCTCTGCAGGCGGATCAAAATCCAAAAGACTTGCTTCTATAAAATCTATAAACACCAATGTTTCCTCTCGCAAAGGAGTCACCTCTCCATCACCTTCAGATGGAAGCTACATGTCCCCATCAAGTGATGGCCGAAGCTCACGCGCAACAACCGTCAACAGACATAGACGAGAGACATCGATAGACAGCAAGGCCTTCCAGCGCTTATCCATGGCCAGCTCTAGGAATGGACATGGGCTTCCTTCTCCGGTTTCACCTAGAGGATCATCCCGAGGTCGGTTTGGGGACGGGGATATTCCTCCGCTCCCGTCAGGGCCTATCGCTAGCCTCGCCAGCAGCCCCATGCTCACATCAGCCAATTTAGAATCTCCTTATTTTGGCGGAAACGATCACAGTGATAATGGCACTCAGGATCACGACCTTGGACGCGATGAGATCTCACCTAGGGATAAAGTACGACAACTAGACGGTATGGAAGGGCTGGATTTCGGATTTGGTACAAGAACCAAGTCTCCTGAGCTGATGGACATTGATGAAACCATGGAGTTAGACGAGTCAGAAGAGGCCTTAGACAGCCCTGGCCCGTCCGTTCCAGAGTACAAAGTCGATAGAGAGTTCTCCGTCTCACACTTCGCCAGTGGCCTTGGTCTCAGCGATCCATGCCATACTGCCAATGATTCAACTTCGTCTTCCAACTCGTCACCGTCTGAAGCACCCTCGAATAGTTCTTTTTCAAGCAGACCATCCGAGTTCTCGAGTGTTTCTGAGCCTAAGTTAAGCTTGTCGGAGAAATTCAATGTCGACCATCTACACCTCCTCCAAGAAGAGCCGCCAACCCGGCCAAAAGCAGATCCATTCGCTTACGACCTCGACTCTCCGACCGATCCTCTATTCCAGCAGGGTCGGCTCTCCGATCCTCCTGCCAGTATCTTCCCATCCAGCTCGGGGACAGGATACAACACTCCGCCGTCACAGCTCGAGCCAGTACAGCCAAAAAAGTATACTCCATACCGTTCTCCTACTCCATCCCCTACTCTACAAGGTCCAACCCTTGATCAACAACAGCAACAAACTCCGCCGCCGCCGCCGCCGCCGATACAGTCCCAACAGCAACCGGAACCACAACAGAAGCAAGAAGAACAGCAGCAGCAACAGCGTCCTCCAATACCACAAGAGGAACCACAGGCCCAACCACAGCCGCCATCTCGATCCACTACTCCTGGAAAACGACGTCATCCTTGCCGTGGCTGCGGCGAAATTATCATTGGAAAATCAGTATCCTCTGCAGATGGTCGCTTGACAGGCCGCTATCACAAGGCTTGTTTCGTCTGTCATACATGTCGCGCCCCCTTTCAAACAGCAGACTTCTATGTTCTTGACAACCATCCATACTGTGCGGCAGATTATCATCGGCTGAATGGCACCCTATGCGCAGAATGCGGCGAAGGGATTGAAGGTCCTTGCCTCGAGGCGGAGGACATCAGCACACCAAATGTAACGGACAATAAGAAGAGTCAAAAGTTCCATCCAGGCTGTTTCAAGTGTCGCACATGCCACGTTGTGCTCAGAGGAGACTACTTTGAGTGGAACGGTAGCGCATACTGTGAACGCGACGGCAGACGGGCAGCGGGCATGATGCCTCCACGATCACCAGGCTATCATCAACCACACAACTATCAGGGCCATGGTCCCCAATCCCCGCTATCAATGCACCCCACCGGGCCCCATGGTCATCCCGGCCCAGGCCCGGGATACAGAAGGCCACCGTACCCTCCATCACCACTCGCGGGCCCACGACAGGGCGGTCGCGGTGACCCTCGTTACCGACCTATTAATCCATCGTCTCTCCGACCCAGACCGGATAAACACAGACCACACCCGTCTGAGCACCAGTTTGTTAATGCATCCCTAACTCCAGCCCCCGGACTTGATAATGGACCATATCCTTCCGGCAGAAAATTCCCAGAACGAAGAACAACAAAGCTGATGATGGTATAAAAAGACAAGCTTGCTCTTTTTATACACCTTTCCTACCAAACTCTCTCCCTTTCTCTTTCCAATCAATGAATATAAGTGCCATACTATATATGCCTTATTATGCTATGCTATGTGATACACTGACGGCGGGATAACAAAATATTTACTACTGCTTCTGCTCTCCTACTCTGAGATCAGACGAATTATTGTTTAATGTTTTTCTGTTTAATTTTTAGTGCCTGGATTTCGCTATTGTTTGTTCCTTTCGGTGGTTCTTTGGGCTGACTCCTTGACTTTTCTATTCATTTTTGTTCTCTTAGCCGCGCTATGATATCCCTTGCGTCCATTTTGTTCCATTGGTCCCTTGAAGGAGCTTTCTTTTCTAACCTTGTTCATGTCGCTCCTTTGGTCGTCTTCGTCAACCACCCTTTTGGGCTTTATTTTAATTTTTGTTCTGCCCCTACTTCTTGATACTTTGAGCACGTTCTACTGTGCCTTTGCCTGTTCAGTTTTATATACCCTTCGACCCCTTGTTTAATTTTGATCTATACATTTAGCCTGGTCTTAGTCAAGCTCTTCAGCACTTCTGTCAAATCAGATCTACTTCACTGCCATATCGCCTCCCAGCCAGCTTGCTCCATTATTCTTGCCTTTGGGGCGGAGGAGTCCGCCTTGCTTTAGCATGGAAGATCCTCACTGATTGTGGGGTATCCAGGGGTTTGCTGGCTATTATCTTGAAGCTTATCGCCATGGCTCTCTCGTATACGAGCGATGGCAAGCTCCAACACGAACAATTGGGTACCATTCATCGATGGCACGGTGGCAGCACCACGGTCAATTCCAGTGCATAAATGAAGCACGAATACGACATGCCGCTTATATGATAATCGGCCCCAGCTATGTCCCGAGGCTGGTCTTCGTGATGACTGAAGCAAAATGGCAGATATAAATCGTACTCCGTTTCCTCATATCTATCTATATCGTACATCACCATCCCTACTCATCCATCAAACAGTCAGCCCTTGCTAACAAGCCATGAAGTTCGTTGTCTTCGCCCAGTTGGCGGCCGTTGCTGCCCCAGTCATCGCTGTTGATCTCGCAGTTCAAGCCGGTCAACATGTCATCTACTCTTACCCAGGCCTTACACCCCCCGAGAGCTTGTACAAGCTCACCTCAGAGGGCAAAGTCGGCGGCCTAATCATCTTCAAGGAAAATGTTGATTCCAACCTGGCAGCCGTCATGGACAAGTTCCAGGCTCTTTACAAGGCTTCACCGGCCTATAATGGCCATCCCATGATTATCACCACCGACCAAGAGGGAGGCGCTGTCCGTCGTGTTCCCGGCGGTCCAACTCAGTCCGCTCGCCAGATTGGTGACTCCTCAAACCCCATGCGATCAGCCAGCCAGGCCGGACGGGATGCGGCAGCAGCTTTGAAAGCGCAGCATATTAACGGCAACTTGGCCCCAGTTTTGGACATCTACCGTGAAAAGGGCAACTTCATCGATGAATTTGGCCGTTCATTCGGCAACAATACCGAAATAGTGACCTCGTGTGGTTCAGCCTTCGCCATTTCGCAGTCTCGTGCTGGCGTATTGTCGACGGTGAAGCATTTCCCTGGTCTTGGAGCCGCGAAGAAGGGTGAAAACACGGATCTGATTCCTATCACAATCGACTTGCCCTTGAGTGAAATCCGTACTTTTGACGAAGTGCCGTATCGTACCGCTATTGGCAACGGGATCGATATGATCATGACATCTTGGGCAGTGTACCCTGCCCTTGATGCAAAATATCCTGCTGGAATGAGCAGAAAGTGGGCTACAGATGAGTTGCGAACCCGACTCGGCTACAAAGGTGTCATCATTACTGATGCCATCGAAGCCGGCTCTCTGAAAAGCTTTGGAAACGATGGGCAGCGAGGCGTATTGGCTGCAAAGGCTGGAGTAGATATCTTGCTTGCTTCAGGCAGGAATGCTACGCAAGGAGAGGCTATTGTTAAAGAGATCGTGGCGGCCTTGAAGCAGGGTACTCTGTCTATGACTGAGTTCCAGGAGAGCACGAAGAGAATTCAGGCTCTCCAAAGCCGTCTTTCAGCATAAACTGGGACCTGATGGATAGTGATGTACATAGATACGTATTAGAAATACATATTGATGATTAAGGGATACTTTAGTCATTTAGGTGGTAATTATGTGATTAATATTGGCTCCATATATGTGGATTTTATGTATTAATAGTTATTTTTCTTAGTTATATGGTATGAAATGTTCAGTTCAGGGTATGTCAAGATCCTAGCCACCCAACGCTCAAAATCGATATCGTAGCTCATACGGCCAGAGATAATAGCCGATAAAATAGAAGAAAACGTGCTCTAACGCTTTCAAAGTAATGGAAGAGCAAAATGAGTGGAATGTGAATATAACCCCAGCAAGGGTGGAAGGTGTAGACTGGGATGTAACCGGAGAGTATGCCCTGCCAGCAGGAGCTAGCCCTCCCAGCAACGCAGCAGTCCTGCATGGATTTACATGCCGGCTATTGTGTCAATGCCGAATGTACTTAGGCTAACGAAGGGACTCCGTGGTGGCTACCGCTCGAAGTAGAAGGGTTTGAAGTAGACCCAGGATTCAATTGAGGCATTTTGATCAGGTAATTGGCCTGTTCACGTCCAGGGGGCGACTTAAAGAGTAACCGGAAGGTGGGAAGACATCCAACAATCATAGCTAAACGAGTTATTAATAAGAGCTTTGGAAAGGAGCCTAAGAAGTATACTTACCAGTGGTAGCTTCGACGGTCCCCCAAAGAGACAACCATTGCACATTTGGGTTCGTGATGCCTGTCTTAGAGCCGATCTGAACAAGACGGATAATAGAGGTGATCATGCAGAGCAGCCCAACAGAGAAAAGCGCGCCTGCTCTCATCTTCTGGGCGTAAGAAATGTGCATTCCGTATATGAGTCGTAGTGGAAGTATCATGACTACATGGCAAAACTGTCAGCAACTGTCTATTTAATATATATCAGAGCAACTTACTCAGCAGATCAGTTGAGACATCGCTTGCAAACCAACCAAATAAGCTCAGGTTCCGGGTTAGGGATTCCATACGTCCTTGACAGTACTCTATATAATGTCAGGAACTTCTTCAAAGTAAAGGGTATTTATAGGGTAGAAAAAGAAGGCATACTTTGACCGGGACCAATACGGTTGAGCTGTTTAGGTCCACCACAAGAGAGCAAAGTAGTGAGGAATCCAAATATAAAGGTGGCGGTGAGATAGGCGATTGTCACTTTCCACCACAAAAGCTGATCCGGTAATGCCTTTAAAAATGGGCGGAAGAAAAGGAGTAGGGATATTTTGATGCACCAGAGAGCGGTATAGAAGAGGTAGGTCGAGGCATATGCGAGGATGATAACGTCGTGTCGATCCTGGAGGAGCTCCTTGTAAAACGGTTTCATGCCCAGGGCCACATAACTCAGCCGGTAGACTCGTGTCTGTAGACCAAGTAGGACGAGTTCGTTTGCAAGGAAGAATACATATGCAAGAACGATAAAGATGACTTCCGACTCCATCAGCCGTTTGTGACGCCATCGAATATATGCAGTAGGGATCAGGATGAGGGAGCCGATGATAGTCAAAAAGACAATGAGGATGTAGAGGCTCCGTTCACCTATCCATATCTCTAAGGTTGGGTCGCTCCTTGGTGGTGCTGTTTGTGCCATTGCGTGCCCCTTTGATCAAAACGTAGAGGTGAATTCCTGGTAAAAGCAGAACCGGTAATTGTTCAGCAGGATGAATTGACTTGTTCCAACGCCCCTGGGAGTAGATAATATATCTTCCAGAAGAGCCATCAGGGGACCTAGACTTGACAAGTAGGTTTTATTTATTTCTCTTTCTTCAGTGACGGAGTCGCCGCCCCCGATGTACTGGATGTTTAGCTATGCCACCCCACGCCGACTTCAAAGGTGAGAAACAAGATATATGTAGCGAAAAAGAAAAGGAGAGGCTGTTACGCCACAGGGTAGAAAGAATACAAATAATCCCTGGGAACGAGTGTAGGACGGTGCTGGTAACAGTGGGCTTTCAAGAACTGGAAGAATGAAAAAAAAAAACCATCATTTGTACGATGGCAGCTTGGCTGGCTGATGCAGGCGATCAAGAGGTCCAAGCCAGGCTAGCAGGCCATGCCTCGCGGTCAGATCTCGAGTCCACTTCTCCAGGGGTCCCGACTGGGGTGTATAATGGCATAACGGGGCCTGACAAGATCTCCGGCCGAACAGGAGTTCGGACATCTAGACCGGGTAATGGTTCTGGCAGCTATCACTGCGACTATCAATGTTGAACTGCTATCCATTTGGATGTTGATCCATCAGGGTTTTTATGAAATGTTGCCACCGCCATAGATGGAAGAACTAGTTATGGCCTTTTCGTGAGAGAAAACTAAGAGGGAAAAGAAAAGCAAGGGGAAAAAAGAAAAGGCCTTCTGAGCGAGCCTAGATGGTGGTGAAGAAGTCTGATGGCTGATAGGGCGATCCTTCACTGGACCGCTGGCGCCTTCTCCCTTGTCGTTCCACGAGCTCTGTTTCAAAGGCCTTGTTGTGCTTGAAAACTCCTTGCATGGTAGTTAACCGTGAGGAATCTTCTTTGCTTTGGAGGCTGAAACTAGCTGTCTCGAAGTGTGGCTTTACTCGAGAGGGTGTGCTCAAAACGCTGAGGCCTGCCCTTGGGAGTTATCGTGCCTTGCCTCCGATCTTGAACCATGTACATATTCGCAGTAACAAAGGGGGATGCTGTCGACGCAACTTAACTAGTTATCAGCATTGAGGAGTGGATGCCCAGTCTCCATCAGCATAAGCACCGCAGGCGTTACGAGGACCAGGCCTATTTGAACGCTCGCCAAACGAGATGAACGATAGAGAAAGCTGGCATCCGGGATACTCCAGACAAGGGCTGACACATAGTTATGCAGGGACGAACTGAATAGTTATCCATCCCGCAGGACGTCTGACTGGCCTGGTTCGAGTTCATGGGAGGATACGGGAAACAATCTCGTTGCTTCTTCGATGAAGGATGAAGGTTGCACGAAGCTCAGCAAGCCCATAGATTGCTGCACCCCCACGGAACCAAGAGCAAGTAAACCCTTTCTCTATCATCATGGTGGTCGTCTGTATACAGGCGGGTTCTGTCCTGGGCGACTAGCGAAGAAAAGGCCCTTATAGCCGTTTTGCGCTTCCTACGCGAGTCCGTACCAATCATGGCTAGTTAACGAATCTTCCTCACGGCAGACGGACGGGACGGTTGAGCATGGACATGCTCCCTTGCGGCAGCTAATGAAGCGTCATTTTGTGACCCATACGGAGTATGTATACACTAGTTATCCTAGCCAGCACAGGTCACTCAACCAGGGTTTGATGCAGTTTTGCATGGCGCGCGGGGGCCCAGTGTTATAGTTACATGGGTGTGCTGGGTCCTCCCAGGGTAGCCTCATGGCGCTGCTTGACTTTACCGCTGCGATGGCCGCGGGACTATTGGAAGTCTGTAGGCTGAGGGGAAGCTTCTACAGTAGTGGTTGCATGTTTTTATGGCGTTGAGAAGGCTGGTTGTGCCACTAGAGCATACAGCATTAAACTCTGCATTAAAACCGTTGATTTTGGCTTATTCTTATCACTGATGATGGCTGCAATCACATGGAACTGTGTCCTTTTCACAAATAATACTCCGTCTTGGATTATCTCTAATATAGGCGTTGAGTTGAAGAAGGTTAGAGAAGCGAAGATGGTTGCCTAGGCATCAGGACAACGGGCATCGTATGCCGCTGGCCGGACGAAGTCCGGAAAAAAGCCGTTATTATATCCCAGACGGGCCACAGTGTACGCTGATGATAATAAATAGGGTTATGCCGTTAGTGACCTGGCCCTTAGCAAACAAATGTACGGAGTACGTGGGAGCGGGAACCAGCTTACCGTCCTTCTTGTACACAGGCCACCCGTGGCTTTTCAGCCCGGCCCAGGGGTCAGCCGCAAAAGTAGCCCAGGCCTTCTGCATGATTCTCTTGAGAATGGTCTGCTCTGAAGATTCTGGGTCTCCAGTGACTCCCTGTGAATTTCCAAAGATCATGTGTAGATCGACACCGTGGTATGCACCACTGTTAGGGAAGAGCCGGGTATTGTCCCAGTCGGCGAAGTAGCGATATCTCCAGACGGGAACGCCGTGCTTGGTTCGGTAATCGGCCTCCTTCATGGCTGGGCATCCGAATACATCGGTAACGAACTGGGCCCACTGTTCGTCTGTGAGGACGGTGCCTCGAGCCCAGGCAGATATGTTGTAGAATGAAGATTCACGGTCTCCATGCCCGAGTATCATCGGCTATAGCAGTTCAGTTTGCGGCACAAATAACGGAGTAAGGGGATCCAGCATAACAGGGTGAAACAAACTCACTGTTTGGATGAATTTCCCCTGGGATGCCAGGGACTCGTAGTCATCAAAGATCAGTTCGCCGTCTGGTCCAGGCTGAAACACAGGCTGTGATCGAGCAACGCTCGTATTAGGCGGCGGAGGGACCTTATCCGCGGCGACTCTGATCTCATCCACAGTCTTGCTCTGCATACAGGCCAGCACATCTCCAGTTGAGCCGCAGCCCACGAGAGAAGACGCATTGTACCAGTTCCTGACCGCCAGCTCCCTCGAGTTCAGGGGAAAACTAAAGATCGTACCCGAATGCAGGATCAGACCGGCCACGATGGGATCATCTCGATACGCATAGGAATACGCATCGACGGCGAGCGCCCCAGAGGACTGGCCGAAGATGGTGATTCTTGCTGCGTCTCCGCCAAAGGCCCCGACGTTGTCCCGAAGCCATTCAACCGCCAGCCGCTGGTCCCTCAGACCCAGGTTCTGGCGCTGTCCGGGGGCACCAGGGAAGCCAAAGATGCCTACCCGGTAGTTGACCGTAACAACCACGACATCCTCTGCGTCCGAGAAGAACTGGCCGTCGAAAAAGGGGGTGTTGGTATCCCCAATGGTGAATCCTGCCGCTCGTCAGTAACGTGACAACCACGCAGCAGGGAGAGATAACTGGAAGAACAGCTGGATAGACTGCATACTCCCTCCGTAGAAGAAGACCAGGACAGGTCTCTTCCGGCCGGCGGTTCCCTTCGTCCAGACGTTCAGCGTCAGGCAGTCTTCGCTGTGGACGTTGGGGCCGCTGCCCATGAACGCCGTCAGGATCCTGGCGTAGTTGGCATCGCGCCGGGGGAAAAGGGCCCCTTTCGCCGGTGTATACACACCAGTCGCTTTCATAGCAGCCCAGTCAGTGAATCAATCAATCCAACAGGCCCTTTCATGATATATCGGCACTCCCGCTGACTGCAGAGAGGTTAGTCTATCTACCTAGGTACACCTCGCAGCCAAACGCGCTCGTGAACATACAAAAATTAGAGGCAACGAACGGCCTGTCACCGACGTATCGCTGCGGCGGCATGAATCGCAGCTTGCCTACGGGAGGCTGCGCATACGGGATCCCTAGAAACTCCTGGACATTTGCCGCTGTCTTTGCCTGGTGGCCAGTGATGAGGCCGTTGGTCGTGTTGACTGTGAAAGGGGCACAGTTTGCCAGCGCTGCCAGCAGCAGACAGGCCGCCGTGACACTGAAACGCATCGCTAGAGACTTCATGGCTGTCTGATCTTGACGAATTCTCTCGAAGACTTTGGGATACGAATTTACCAGACGCAGATGCAGCCCGCTCAGCCTTTAATGATGGGCGCTCATCCTTGTACGTCCATCGTTCACTAGCAGCAAGCCTCTCGCAGCAACTTCTCCCCTTCAGTCCGTCACTCTCTGCTCTGAATGGCACCGGAACAAGGCAGATTCACCAAAGGACTGCTGCGAATTCACGGTTACACTGCTCTACATGGCATCTCTTCTCCGGATTACCCCGGGTGTGCAGAGCAGAGCAAGTAAAGCCACAAAGACGGCGTTTTTGGGCTAAATCGCGGATGCATGAACGTTCGCGACCATCGGAAAACTCCCGTGAAATGCCAAAGATAGGCAAAAGACGGCTCTCCTTGACATATTCAAGATGATACTTTAATTGTTTCGCCAAAGAACGGACGTTTGGTAGTTATTTTTGACTTGACTGCAACCTCAGGGGGCTGCCAAATATATCCAACAGCACCGACGAGATTTCGTATGCATGCACGCGGAGAATCGAAACACGATCGTCTGTTTAATGCTTACGCATGGAAGAAACGATAAGAGTTGCTTTTTTTACGATTTCCGCTGTGTACAAGCCTTGGATCAACGACTCAGAACCACAGCCATCCCGCAACCTTGTAAGCGCCGTCCAAGGTCAATTTACATCCATGTTCTTTACTGACTACTTACACGATAGAATTCGATCTCGTGCCAGTTTCAACTCGAACTTGGCGGTATTTTTGATCATATACTGCTCTCCACGGCTAGATGCAGCGTGCATCAAATATTCCTGCTAGAACGCAGGGGAGCCGGGGAACAGCTGCCGTTTCGTATAACTACCTGCAATGCATGAAGTAATCGCACGGTGAAAATTGACAATGCCCTCCAAGACGCATATACTATGATACGCCACCTCCATGAAGCATGGAGGAGGGGTGGGAGCCACTCGAACGGACGTCTATACCCTGTCCCAAGATTTCCCCCCTCCCTAACAACTGTGGCTCATATACGTCAATCTATTAATATAACTGCCAGGGGTTGTTACAACTGGTTACAGCATTGGCTCCCATGGCCCAGCCTTGCTAGCATAGAAAAACAAGCCCAGGTTATATATATTCCTTACCTTTACTATACAGTTCTTGCTTCCATCCCAGGAGTAAGGCCAAAAAATGCCATGACTACATGACTACCCATTCTTATAGAAGTTATCTTTACCCACTGAAATACTATACTTCCAGCTCGGTCGTTGAAAATGGCCTTCTCATTCTCGGACCATACCTTTTATAACCACCTTCAACACACAGACTCCACGTCAGGCTACTCATCTCCTCGGTACAGCGACGCTGCTCAAAATATGGCATCGCTGTCTCAACAAGATGAAATTTTGCGGCTTGAAGACATCATAGATGTTGATCTCGCACCTATGTGTCACGGGTTCGCCCCAAGCGCAGGACGCCGCTGCTACAATACAGTCGCCAGACATAACCTCAACACCGCATTAAGGCTGGTACGCCGGGGTAATGAACAACTTCTCAATGGGCAAAACTTATCCCAGACCCTTGAACAGCTAGCCCCCCTTCTCCTTTGCCGACGCAATCACCAATACCAGGCCGCTGAATTAACCCGGAAATGGGAAAGGATGGTCGCCTCTTCATCAGCACAATCACAACCTACCTATACACCCCCTACTCGTCCTACTCCTTCTTCACAACGGCAGCATATGAGTTCATTAGAGCAGCAGGCAGGGTACGCTAGTCAATCTGCTATCAGGCAAAGCGTTAGGCCGGTTACATCCGTGAGCGTTCCTTATACCGCAAGCGTAGATGCATCATCCATACGCACCAGGCGGGTCCGGATCGCTATTCCACCTCGCACTATCACTGTTTCTCAACAGCCTACTGCACAACTCCCTACTGCCCAAACCTCTACTGCCCAAACCTCCTACT